GCCAAGAGTAAAGTGAACCCATGTCACTAAAGTCAAAAGGAAATTCGTGGAACAGGAGTAGCAACAGCCACCCTAGTTGGATGAACCCGGGCCTCATGTGTATTTAGAAGTTAGTACCATTTGTAAATGCGACGTTACGACACTGGATGAAATTATCAAAGTTTTTCCTCATTCCGATAGCGCGGTCACAAGCTTTTATCGACTTTCGATTGACGAACACGACATTTCGATTGACAGAATGCTGTCAGCACATGACAGTTATACAGAGTATCGAACTTCAACAGCCCACAATACTGAGACATCTGTTCGTTTATTTGCATGGAAAAAAGTAGTATACAATTTAGAATTTTCGGAAATAAAAACATGAGAACTCTAAATATTGATGAGTAATGTATTTCAACATCGATTTTCATTTAATTTAAAATACTGATTTTGATTCACTTCATGTCACACTTTGAATACCTCGATTTGACTATTTTCGATGAAATGCCAAAATAAATAATTTTCAAACACATTCACAAATCCACGAGTTAAGTCCACTACAAATCAAAGTAACATGCACGATATTCATGTATACTCTGAGAGGAGCTACCTCACATTGGGTAATGGCCTGCAATATTTTCCAGGAATATGCAAGTAGAAACTGTGGAATCACGGACATCTTCAAGCAGCATTTCCATACGATAGGAAAACAAGACACGCATGCTGACTGGTGGACTGGCGTTACGTAAGTCTGCTACCATTCGTTTGCGTAACAGGATAACAAGTACATTTAAGCATTCGCCGCTTTGCTAGAGGAAAATATGTAAATAAAAATTGCTCAACGGTAGTATTTCACGTCAGTAATTCAAACGTTGCCCCAAATCTCTACGGACTGAACAACGAAAACAGCAAACAGAGGCGGACCGTTTGCGACAAGACTTCATAATCGATAGGTCGGTGAGACAGGGAAAGAGGGAGAGGAGATGGAAAGGGGAGGAAGCTGTGAAAAGCTCTGGCAGGCAGCTGCACCGCTGTGGCGAGGAGGGCTAGGGGGGCAAGAGCGTGCCGCGGGACCAATCGGTAGGGGGCGAGAACGCGGCAGGGTCGATGGCGGGCGGACAAGGTGGGCTAGAGGAGGTTGTGGGCGGTGTGGGCGACGGCCGCGCTGCTGCAAGCGCGTTGTGCAACGGAGGCGGAGGCAGGCAAGCAAGCACGCCGTGCTGCGCACCGCGCTAACCTACATTCCGCTGGGGAAGGCCCCGAGCAGGACATCGCCAACGCCAAAGGCCTCTGAGCGCTCTCCGTCAAACGGTGCTTCGTCGTAATGCACTCACAGCGTCGCCGTCAGTTCATTCGATTTCGGAACGAATAATGATGACAAAGACGTACGTTAGTGTGCACAGATTCCATCCGGTCGAGACCCATCCCGAATTAACCGTAACCTTCAAACTCTAAATGACCTTCGTATGTTCCACATTAGTCAGCAGGTGGCTCATGTAGAGTCGTGATTGCGCAGAGATCATTATCCAGCTATCCATCTCTGACGTTTTCAAAATGCATGATATTCCATGTAATTTATTGGAAACATTAAAATATTCTAAATTTAACTTTTGTATTGATGGGAGATACACGATTAGAATACTGACACTGCTGCTATGCACAGTCCAGGCAGAATTATCTGCGCAATAAAAACAGCAGTTCAGCTTCACCTTCACACTTCAGAATTTCCAACGCGGAATGCCAGTTTCGAAATCATCGAGAACTCATTTATTCAGGGACAAGCAGATCTGTTCTACAGCAGAAGTTTTACAGTTTCGGGGGGGGGGGAGGGGGGGGAAGCAGAGGAGAATTCCTAGAAGCGAGCCAGCAATAAACGCTATACGAGCATCCTCTAGGACGATGCAAGTGCTCCTGTTAACTAGGCACCTGCGCTCAACTAGCGAGCTAGAGGGAAGAGGGAGAGGGAGAGGGAGAGAGACGTTCCGGAGAAGCGGACGGGATAGCGCTGTCGCGAAGACGGCTCCCTTCTGGGAAGACGCTTGTTGTCGCTTCCGGCCCCTGCTGTTCAAACTGCGTCGTGTCGTCCAGGAGATCGCGTCGCAATTCGGAGACAGCCGGCGGCGGCGGCGGCGGCGGCGGCGGCGATGTTGCGTCGCGCGACCCAAATCCCGTGGCCGAGTGGAGCGCGCGCGCGGGTTGCACAGGCGAGCGCGTGACGCGGCGCGGGAGTCTTGGGCTCCGACACGCTCTCGGAGCCGCGGGGGGCTAATCTGGGTGCCCAGAAACGGCACGAGGCGCAGCGACCCGAGCCGCCTCTCGGCTTCCGATTTTGGAGCAGAAAGCGGGTAATCACGTGATTTTCCCCGGTTTCCCCGTGCTCATTATTTTTCCTCCGCGTACGATCAATCACATTCCACAAGGAGCCAAGAGTTCGTCTTCCTTATTCAGAATGTAATATACGGGAAATAAGATTAAAGGAAACAACCGCTTTCTAGTAGGTGTGATGTGAAAACACGAATGTTTGCATTACTTGTTCGCCTCTTTCCATACTCGCACTAAACAATTATTCTTGCAATAATTTACAGGTCATCTCTGGTTTTCAAACTAATGGAAACACTGAATAATTTCTGTTCATGACATTCTTTCACGCCAACAATATTTTACAAACAATGTACGAAATTATAATTGATGTTACATGTTTAAGTGTTTTTGTATTTCTTTATATTAATACAAAATCGTAACAAATATCAAATTTAAGGTATCACAAACCATTCGGCTAGATCAAACTAGCTATCCTGAACAGCAGATATGTGATACAAACATTTGCACATAAGCCAAGACATCTGGCAATTCATTCTTGGTAAATGTTTAAATAACACTGCAGATGAATACATGAATCACTCGTACGCGCTGCCTGCGTTCAGCCATTCTTTATATTGTTTTGCTCGCCGTGCACGTCTGGAGATAGCTTGGCGGAGATTTGCACGCCTACTCATTTGTTGATTTAACGTAGCAGAAATATTTGGAGAGCAACGTAAAAACGTATGTTATCAATCGACCCACATCTATACATGCACTCACACACGCGCATACACACACACATACGCAATGAGGAATTTCCGTGCACCGACCCGCCGGAAAACAACACAAACAGTCCCCCGAAGGAAAACAGGATGACTAACGACGCAGTCTGCACTTTCCAGCAGCCACGCCACGACAGTTTTCAGCTGAGCTACTCCCTTGTCACGCCCAGGTAATTAAATTTGGTCATGGAGACCAAACAAACAGACTTAACTGTAACCTTGACAAATAGGATACCATTTTGAGAGCACTATAAACAATTTTGTTTTCATCAGATTCACAACAATAACAATAAAAATAATTGAGCAGGTATTTGTTCAATGAAGAGAATGTAGAAGGCAGCGACTCTCTTATACAAAAATCTATGAACATTCTGTCGTCCTCTTAACATTCCCAATTGCGCGTATTTCCTTCAGCTCTTTACTAGTCTAAGGAGCCAGTATAAGCGATGGAACCTGCAAATATTTTAGTATTAAATGAAGTCAAACAATTCCATTTATGATTTCCACACTTCGAAACATTCAAGGAATCAAATGTTTAACCCAAGGACTTCGGAAAAGAAAATCATGCCTTGGTATTAATATGGGAAAGTTTAATGGCCTAGTTGCATTGTGAATTGCGCCTACTTTCAAGATAACAATTGGAGGCCTCAGTTGTAGGAACAGTTCAAGGCATGAGGGCATAATAACATATGTAGAGTTAGTGAAGAACATGAAAACTAGCTTTGACAGGTCATCCTCAATTGTTCAATTGCTTTTAAAAAATTGTTTAAAGCCGAGAGAAGGCTTCTCCCCTTATTGAGAAAACGTATGATGCGCCCCCTGGGCAGTGCATGGATCGAATGATTGAAGTTTTGGGCACTTTAAGTTAACAGTTATGATTAGTTCCGTGAGTGTAATGAATGCGTCATCTGAGGTGGCGGCGGTGATCCTCCCCTACTGAATGAGATCCGGTGCCGACCTACGCGTCAGCTTGGAGTTTCCCCATCCAGCTGCCACCAGCGGGGCATTGTTCACCGGGATAAGCTCTATTATCACGAGATATGGGGTAGTGTAGTGCATGTAAGTGTGTGTAAGTAATGGTTGAGGACGAGACAAGGAATAGGAAGGAAAGATCGTGCAAGGTCTGTAGCCGGTTTGTTACGATACTCCTCCGGCATTCGCCTGGTCGGCCAAAGCATTGGATTGATCGGAGAAACCAAACAAAAGTGCCGACCTTGCCGGCGACCACTAGAATTCCCCTGCAGACAGCAGCTAAATTCACCCTAGCTAGTACATATCTGGAATAACAAATCCGACACCGTTGGGATTGAACACAGGACTTCCCGGTCAGTTCGCTGTAGAGAGCGGCAATGCTGGCTCTGAGCAAAACTCAGCCGGTGTGGGTGGCGTAGATAGGGCGCGCGACGTGCCCGGGGTGCGAAAAGTAACCGCGGACAGAACACTTGAACCGGAAGAGGCCAGCTGCGCCACAACGCGCAAACATCCGCCGCTAGGACGGCCGCACTCACGCCACCAAACTCTGCACGATACGTACGCACTTATAAAGAATAAATCTTCACATGACCTTCACCGCGACTATCAACCGCTAACACTTTGTGCAATTATTTCACCAAAATTAGAATCTTACCATTAGATTGCACACAAATTCTTATTCTAAGCGATGTGCCAATTTAAGAGCGTATAACTGTGAGCTGGGGCAGTGGAACTAACTTGTACCAAACGGACTAGTTTTATCGAGGTATAGAATCTCTAAGAATATTTACAAATGCCCTGAATAGTTCATCCAACGTTTCCATTGGTTTCTTACAAGGATAAATTATTTGAATATATATTATAAAACTAAGGTTACCAACCATGTGATCTAGAAAATTTTAGTCCTACACATACACATACACACACACACACACACACAACTTGGCCACGTTTAGTACTTACGCAACAGGCATTGCGTTGATCTCTGCTATTCATGTTACTTACCTAGAACAAAAGAAAAATAATGTAGCATTCGGAAACTGAAAGCGAAACTGCACGAAAGTGTTGAAAAATATTGCTGAACAACTTGTCCATTATAATTACTGTAATCTTACTTCAAAAAAACAAACATTCCAAATATAATCCAAAAATGTTATTATGTCATACAAAGTTCCTCTCTAAAACATCTTTACGCCAGTATGTCAGCACAATACATGAATTACTATGATATTTTTTTCCTGCGAGGTTATGGTATCTCGTCTTATCGTAACTGCTCTTGAAGCCATAATTCCCAATCATAGCATTGGCATCCATTCCTGCGATAATTGGCAACAAAAAAATTAAAGCGCATGACTCCAGCTATCCTAGCCGCCCGCGACCCCCACCCCAAGTAATGTCTCGTCGTATCTAGTTGCGAGGGCGCAACGAGCGCTGCCCGCTCCCGAGTCAACGCCCAGTCGGCAATCGTCTGAGCAGAATTACGGCGAGACGCTTTATGTCGACCATTTGAACCTCGTTGTCGCACCAGACACACGGCGCCGCATTTTCCTAACGATCGCTAGTTTCATAGCAGCTACATTATCGCACGGGCGTCCAGACGGGTGGCGCGACGGCGCACCGCACGCTGAGGAACACGTCCGTTCCATTGGACACAATTTGGCGCTTCTCTCTACTTCCGGTCTTGCGCGAGATCAATACAGCCATTCGCCTCACTGCGTCTTTTCCCTACAAGGACATAAATAAACCGAGAGACCATGAGCGCCTCTCACCACTGCTTGACGCAAGAGACAGATATTCCTTGTTTCCCTGTGTACATATTCGAGATCCAAATCGTTCACGCTAGTAATATTATCTGCTAATTTAACTCTACACACTAAAGCTCATCACGACTAGGTCTTAGGCAAAATGATATCTCTAAAGTCTTATCTTTTCAAGTTGTCATTCCACTAATTGACGATGAAATTACATTGAACAATGTCCTCACATTCCGGGATATTGTAAAGAAGACCCTACTACTAATGTACGGGTTTCATTGTCCTTGCCCGCCAGATACTGAATTTCCGGCCACTGCGCGCGAGCGGCGCCGACGGGCGTCTGGCACTAACGAATCGACTTCTACTGCGGAGAGACTGGGGCCTTTACGAGCGTTTTAGCCAACGTCGGCGCCACTTCCACAACCCTCGTCAGTGGCGGCAGGAGCAGTAGTTCCCTATGCGATCGATAAGGTTCAACGGGCATAATTGCCCCTAGACGAGACTGCCTTCATCGCCGCCACGACAATGGCGTATCTATGGATCACTTCGAAACCTCTTCAGGCCAACTTTAAGAACGTAAACATTTTTTTTCGGTTTCGAAATCTTCAACCTCTGGAGTGAATTGTGCCCATAAAGAAAGTTCAGTGAAACAATATTGCTGTCCCTACCATTTAATAGGTACAAATGAAATCGTAAGAGAAAAAACTTGCGTTTCGTAAAACACCTGAAGAAATGTTCTACAAGGTACTATTATCAAATTTAAATGCGTCATGCCAATTTTTAATTGCTATTTTTCGAGTATAGAATACGTTTAAGACGTTCTGTAACAATCAATTATGAATACAATATCATTGAAGATAGTCAAAGTTCTAAGAAAATCTAAGAAATTAGTTTTCTTGTTGTTTTTTATTGTGGTTTTGTCTTTCGACACTAGTTGAGTTGGCGACGCTCAGGTCGAGAAAAATTACGAAGTGCAATATTTCCGGATAAGATTCAAACGGTTGATAGGTATAAATTTGGTGCCAAAGTGGAAACCAACTTGTTTCAATGGACAGACGAAAACCCGATACATCAGTTCACTTATCCCATTGTTTCCATCACGGTTACGAACGCTGAAGTAGCTAAAGCGACAGAAATCGTGTTACGCAACCACAGCCATCAATACATCGTAACGACGTAAAATTGTCCGAGCACTCACTTCGAATCAGCCCGTTCCAAAACCAAATATGTAGCTGTAAATGAGATTGTCGCTAGCAAGACCACCAAACCCCCACCAGAAAGTTGCCTGCAGGCAGATTCTTGCCATGCGGTTTGCAAAGCCAATTTCGGGCTTGCACGGGGGCTCCGCCGCCCTTTCGACCGCCATCGTCGCCGCCTGAATATCGATGGCCCGCTCTAAATTTAGCCCCCGCCAGACAGCAGCAGGGGCGGCGGCGGCGGCGGCGGCGGCGGCGACGACCGCTGATACCGACTGCGCCGCCACGCTGCCACCGCCGCCTCCCATCAGCTCGCGCTGCGTCCCGTCGCCGCCGCCACTACCACCGCCGCCGCGGGTAAACAACGCCCCCGCATCGGCGCCGATCCAGAGATTGCTCACGGGGAAGCGACTGGTGGGACGCGGTTACGTCATGGCACGAGACGCGGAGTCCTGGCCAAATTAATCATTGCGTTCTGGCAACTTGGCCGGCGTCAGAGGTGCGTTGGAACCCCCGCGCGTCTCGTGGGAGTGGCAGTTAGGTAAGCGCGCGCCCGCCGCGAGTTTGCCTCGGTGATTAGCCGGTCACCCCCACGGCACTACTACGGCCCGGGTGCGAGCCATAATGGGAAAGTCGTAGGACACTGCGCTGTCGAGATGAGTCACGGGTTCTTTTAAAGCCGTCAGGCTCTAAGAAGCCTTTCGACACTCCGAGCTACGACCTGCAAAAGGTTGAGGTGGGCGTGTGGAGCATGAGGAGCGTAAATATCACATCCATGCTTTCATTTTTGGGACGATGCCTTCTAAGAACAGTGTTTGGCGAGACCTGCCGCCAATTCAAAGTAAAACGAAAAATAAAAACGCAAAACTTCCTGGAATATTCATTAATAGTCATGAGGTTTTACATTCAATAGAGATCTGCATTTTTTTAAGGAACACTCCTAATGACTTGACACACACGCTAACCGTCGGGAAAGTGTTGACAGCGACGTTCAATTGTCATTGATGCTCAGTTTCAATCCAAACTCTTAAAATGTAATTTCAGGCAGCATGAGGCGTCCTATCTCGAGATAATGTGCCCATATTCGACCGAAGACCGATGGTACCTAGTCATAGTATCTAGTCATACTAGTTTGATAGTAAGTCATAACTGTGTTTGTGGTAGTAAACTACTAGTAAATTACGAACTTTGTAGTTAATGGAGGATACGATTTGTCAACTCAAAAATGTTGATTTTTTATTTCGAACATATCGCATCCTCCAACGACTACAAACCTTCACCTCGCCACGTCAGACAACTGGCGAAGGACTATCAGAGGTGCCCTTATCTAGTCTTGCAAGGCGACAAGTGAAGAACGCAAGAATGCGATGAGTCCACCGGCAGACATACCGGCGCGTAGGAATGCGGATATGCAACGGGAATATTAGAAGGGAGATACGGCGTGGGCTTGTCCACCGAACCAGCCTTCCTACTCCAGCTGAAGAAATTCCAACAGGAAAGGTCTAACACTAAGATGGCGATAGAGTAAGCACGATGACGAAGCAGGTTTAGTCATGTATTCCTTATACATTGCCAACACTAGATGGAATGAAGTTCCAGGCTGTTTTCGCCTTTGGTCTGAGTACTGCGAATGTGTGAGGTTTACCATCGGCAGAATTCAAGAGTTTGGAAGCGTAAATTAAGAAAAATATCAGTTAAATTCGATAATCAAAAATAATTTAATATTGGTTTCCAATTTTTTTCTTTAAATATTACGAATTGTTATATAATCTATACATTTTATTGTTATTTATTAATTAATACGATCAATGTTAACTGCAAATTAATATACATTAATATTATGATCAAATGGACTTAAAACTTAAATATTCACAAGAAAGTTCAGTAGCATATTCTTTGAGCGTCAACAACGTGTCGACTGATGCAATGGAGCTTCCTATAAAATTAAACAACGTAATTTACTATTTTGTTTATGTTGACTGATCCACGAGATGGATCTGCAGAAATTACGTATTTGTATGATTCTCTTCTAAGAGACTGACCATTCTCAGCTTCCAATACCACGAGACGGATGCGCCTCCTCAGGAAAGATTTGGGCTTGTAACCGAGTTTAACGATTGCCTGAAGACATGTTCCATTTATTTTTATTATTATTATTATTATTTTTATTATTATTATTATTATTATTATTATTATTATTATTATTATTATTATTATTATTCAATAATTTGGATCTGCTGGACAAAAGACAAAGCGAGATATGGACAACTGAAATGACAACTGCTGTTTAATGGACTATTCCGCGTAGGGTAGAATACATAGCCGCCCATGGAGGTAAAAGACAATAAAGGACAATGTTCAGGAGAGGCGGAGTGGAAAAATTGAAGATCTAATGTAGATAGAATGCACTTTGAGTAGCCCGCGGATCCTAAGCCGCGAGTCGTCTTCCCGGCAGGCGTTGCTCATCTCTGCAACTCCGCCGAATCGCACCAACGCGCAGCGCCCGAATCCCGCGCATTCCAGCTGGCGGGATCTTCTTCACCTCGTCGGAGATTACAGCTGACCGGAGCAGGACCCCAACGTACGTCGCGCCCAGCGCGGGCAATGCATGCTGCAGCGCCGAGGCGGCAGGACGGCGCACGGGGCGAGAGGATTCGAACATCTCTCGCAAGCTTCCGCGGAACATTGCGTCATAATTCCAGCTGTCTCTTCGTTTATTGAAACTGACGGCCGAGTGCAGCTGGAGCACGACGGGTGTCGGCGTTGGCGTCGGCGTCGGCGCCTGGGTTGCGCGTCATTTCAGGGGGAGGGAGGGGGCACGAGAGGGTGCACCAGGGGGCGCGAAACGGGGGCTCCGAGCTCGTGAAGCGTCCCTCCAGCTGCGGGCGCGACTAGCGTCCCTTCAGGTTTCAACATGCCGATTCATGATCCTCAGTAATACGTGGAGTGAGGTTATGATATATAATGGGATAATGCCTTTTAATAACATTTTACCAAAACATAACTTACTTAATAAAATCATTGCTAGGTGGCGAGTACATCTCTATCCAGTGGT